TACAAACTGTTTTAAGAACTTCAAGCAAGTTAGATGTCCAGAGATGCAACCATAGTCATTTCATCTAGTCTAGTACCATAGTCATTTCTTTTATTCTGGTGCCCTGGTAAAAATTCTTTATGGGAATTAATCCCCCACCACACACACAATCCCCTAAATAAGATTATTACAACCAAAATCTCATAAAATATTTATCACAAAATCCTGCTGTCCTGACAGGCTGCAGACTGACACATTATACCCTAAGTAGGGCAGTTGGCTTGTCTCACTCCTGACTTCCATAAAAAGCCTGCAAAGCTTAGAGATGCTGGTTTTACCATCAAGAGTCACAGGCTGAGTCAGACAGGCAGCCCATTGAGAAGGCTGTATACAGAGATCACCACACACAGAGGTGCCAGCTGGTTTTGCATGTTGACCACCTGACTGGTGTAAGCTTTCCAATCCCCTCCACACCGGGAGGGTGGCAGGCAGGAGATGTGAAGTGGTTAGAGAGGAACCTGTCAAAGGAAAGGAAGGCTTGATAAGCCAGATACAGGGGGAAATGAGTCAGTTGATCATTTTAGTAAGATTCCTGGCCTCCAAAGTTTTCCATGACAAACTTACTGCACTAATCAAATGTCACAGATCAGAGAGGGGCACACTATCCCAGCTCTAAAAAAGTTTTTTAAAAGCTCCTTTTCAGGTGATACAGAGAGAACTGCACTATGGGACAAGCTCCCAAACGGAATCAAGATGAGGTGTGGGACTGTCACTTCCCAAATGGAAGGGAAGTTTTGGGGCCTCGACACACTCTAAGAGTCCCCTCCTAACAACAGATCTTAGGGGCCTCCAAACTTATCAACAGGTTCATGTAGACCTTATGGCTGTGCTTGTTGGGGAGAGGGGGGGTGTCTATGCAAACTACTGTGCTGGCACATTGGGAATAATCTTAGCAGCTGCACCATGACTACAGGAGGGCAGGGTCAATGCTGGAGGAATTCAGTGTTTGGGAGAGCCAGAGAGGCATGGACCCTCTGGAGAAAAATGGTTCAGTGACACCAAATGTTTGGTAAAACAACTCATCCCATCTTTGGTCAGGAGTCTCCCCGGCTCACACAGCCCTTCGCTTCACATCCTTCTGATTCACTGTTACTGACTCCACCAAGGGATATGACATCACTTGCGTCAGAAATGAATACAGGGCCACTGACCCAATCTCCGAGGGTGAGTGAATGGGCCACAACTACGTGATCAAAGGGAGTCAGTGTGAAACGGAACAGGAAAGCCGCATTAGGCATCTAATTACAAATTTGGCAGGATCAGCTAGATCTGTATTTACCACTCCACGCAGAGCACTCAGTGGTAATGATGGTGTGAAATTACATTACTCAGTCAATCTGAAAAAGGAGGAAGGAAGAAGAAAGGCCCAAGGCAAGAAATTTACATCAGCCAAAAACTATGCACAGATACATGGGGTGGGGAGTGGATTGTTATAGGTAGGGGCCTACCAAATTCATGGTCATAGGATTTTTAAAATTGTATATTTCATGATTTCAGGTATTTAAATCTGAAATTTCACGGTGTTGTAATTGTAGGGGTCCTGATCCAAAAGTGGTGGATGGCCAAGGTTATTGTAGGGGAGATTGTAGTACTGCTACCCTTACTTCTGTGCTGCTGCTAGAGGCGGTGCTACCATCAGAGCTGTGTGGCTGGAGAGCCACAGCTGCTGGCTGGGAGCCCAGCGCTGAAGGCAGAGCCGCCATCAGCCACAGCGCAGAAGTAAGGATGGCATGGTATGATATCGCCACCCTTACTTCTGCGCTGCTACCTTCAGAGCTGGGCCCTTGGTCAGCAGCCACCACTCTCTCTAGCCACCCAGATCTGAAGGCAGCAGCAGAAATGTAAGGGTGGCAAAGTTATTTTAGGGGGATTGCGGTATTGTCACCCTTACTTCTCTGCTGCTGCCAGATTTCACGGGGGGAAAACCAGATTTCACGGTCCATGACACATTTTTCATGGCCAGGAATTTGGTAGGACCCTAGTTATAGGCAAAGTGAAAAATAAAAACAAAAAAATTGCAGAAAATAAGTC